TTTCATTTCTTATATAGTTTTCCTTCCATTGTATTAAGGGACCATTTAGATAGATTCTCATGTCGTTTACACTTTAGCTATTTTGTTAATACCTCTGCTACTCCGTCAACTGGATGCACATCCAGCGGGAAATGCGTAGCTACGCAATATAATGCCATCAAAATATAATGCACACAGCACCCTTTTCTGCGGCCGGGACAAACAAGACAAATGGAAAACCACTATTTTAGGAATTTTTCAAATGCGAACATCAATCAACAAAATTTAGAATGAAAACGCATTTCAATGTGAAGGAGTTTTCGTTTTTATTTTGGACAGACAGACACAGTGTTTTCAGATATTTTATCTCCTATGAAACAGAAAATTCCATAGAAAATACAACTTTAGTTTACTAAAGATCTAAACTAAAAGATCAGAGCATAAACCACTGTAACTACACATCTTCAAATTTGGTATGTAATTTTTGAAAATGTTAACTATAACGGAACAGAAACGTCCAATTATGTTCTATGATATTTAGCGTACGGGTGAAACTAGAATTTTAATATGTAGGATGAGATATGGTTGATGCATTGCTAATTTGTTTGTTGTACCTGAACCGATTTTTGACGTACTTGTTTCTAGACTGAGATTCGATCGGTTGTGCAAAATTCAGATTATTTGGACTGATATTTGGACTGATTATTGGTGCACAATTAACCCGAAAGCATTTGAAATTTGAACCGATTCTCAGCAATTTCAATAGAGTTTGTCCTTGGGTCAAACAAATATTGTTTGGAAAATTTCATCTCCATCGGATAATAAATGCGACCTGCATTTTGTTCACAAATATACATGGACAGACGTATATGCGTGGACATGAGTATATTAATTTTGTCATTCATTTTTAAGAATCGAAAGTGGACCATACAGATCATCGTTTAAACACTGTTATTGGTATTTGTAAAACCAATACTATATGGATGGGATTTTTGACCTTTGGTGTATTTTGTTCAGATAAAGGGATTTTTTGGAAACTCAACTATATATTCCATGTTTTGGCTTCACCGGCCTTGCCTAGGGGAAGACCGAAATGCAATAAATATATGTAATATTTTAAGAAAATTTAGCTTGAAAATAATTTTTTTTAATTTTTGGGCCATCCAAATGGTTCAAAAGGAATTTCTGACTATGTCGGTGGCTGCCATGATGTGAAATTATATAGCAGGAAAATGCATTATTTTGGACTTTATGATCTCAAGGCGTTAAACACATCATTGCAGAAAATCGTAGCCATATATACATGAGGTTTCAGTGTAAAAGACCGAGTGAAATATTTCCTCTCTCAAAATTCTAGTTGCTTCCCATTGCAGCCATTTATCTAGGCACATATACTCACAATGATCATTATTCCGAATTTTATAATTGCAGCTCTTTCACTGCACTCTATTAGATATTAGACATTTTCAAAAACACGTCATTGCCTAATTTCTACACACTTTTACCCAAATTCACAATTGCAGTCATATTCCTACCTTTTAACTAAATTTAGTATCCTTTGGTACTTTTCAAATTTTTCGTAATCTAAAAAGTACGCATTTCCAAAAACAACGGACTGTCCAGACCCTACACACCATTAGTGATACCATTTACCAAAAATCATAATTCCGATTATATTCCTACATTCTACGCAAAATTTAGTACATTTCTTACACTATTACACTATTCAAAGACACTGCATTGCATACATCATACGCACCCACAGTCACTCGTATACCAAAACCTAATAGTCTGACTCGATTCCTATCCTCTGTGCCAAAGTTAGTACGACATTTCTAACTCAACCGTATGTACTTGATTTCTACGTTCCACCTTTGTCACCCAAAAACATATTGTTCCCAATTGAAAACCAGTAAAAAAGTCCTAAAGTCGGGCGGGCCGATTTTATGATACCCTACACCAATTTAGTTGAGCTCCACATAACAATTAAAAGCTTTTATGGGAGAATTCAATCATACACCCTATAATTATAATTTAAAATTCAAAGGACTTAATATGTCGAAGCATTTGTATCTTTTAAATTCGGATTTGTATTGCCCATTTGGTGCAAAATTAATTTGAAATCCGATAAAGATATATATGGGAGCTATATTCAAATCTGAACCGATCTCGATAAAATTTGGCATAGATATTTCTGAGCTGTATTTAATATATTTCCCTGAATAACGTTGTTATGGAGTGCATATTACGGCTGTGGGTAACAAATACTACAAATCGGATGAACAATATATATGGGAGCTATAGTTATATCTGAACCGATCTTCACCAAATTTGGCATACTACCTTCTAGACTCAATTCGGTCGTATGTGCCAAATTCCATCCCATTTGACGGACGGACGGACAGACGGACTGATATGCCTAAATCAACTCAGAAAATGATTCTATGCAGATCATCAAAAGGAACTATGGGTCTCTCTAGATTCCTTTTGCCTGTTACAAACAAATGCACATAGACATAATACCCTGACCACCTTGTGGTGTAGGGTATAAAAAGGGGTCCGATTGGTACACTTTAGTGCGCATTTCGAAAACACTTCGTTATATAAGGCACATTTCATAACTTTGTTTCCATTTCAAGATTTACCGTTACCAAATTTGTGACATGTAATATGTTGCGTATAACAAAAGTTTGAATTACACCACATTTTGACGAAACTTCATTAAGTTTGTCATTCCGTTCTTAACACCTCGAAATATACATTTTAGACTCCCAAGCATATATTTCTGATCCGCATAAAATTCTATGTCGACTTAGCGATGTCTGTGAAAATCAATTTAGCTTCCGAACGAATTGAAGTAACTTGATGAAATTTTTTTCAGATGTGTATTAGGTCTGCAGTACCTTTGGTTTTGAAAATGGGCTACATAGGTCCACGTTTTGCTATAAGTATAAGCTTTTTTTTTTGGAGTTGTAGTCACATTTTTAACCCAAATTGACTGTAAATTGGCTGCGATTGTTCCCATTATGTAAGAAACATACTTGCATAGAACTGTCAATATAAGTCTAAATTTTGGTATAGTCTTCATATAAAAGCACATCTCTATATTCGGTATTTTGATCATTTTAGTGACATTATTCACCAGAATTATTTGAAATTTTGTATTTGAAGTTCCTTATGAGTACTACCATCGGTGACAGAAAATTCCCTATGCAGGTCATCGTCTAGCACCCACATAACGGTATCTGCCCATATTGGGTATTTTGATGATCATATTTGAATATCGATACGGTACATGACAAAAAATTTCCTTCGCAGGTCCATGTCTTACTTTGAGCCCGAATATAACGGTAACTCCCTATATTCGGTATTTTTATAATTTTAGCATTATTTTTATCGGAGTTCTTTTTTTTTTGGAAAATTTACAAATGCCTTCCAAATGGTGGAGAGCATTCAAGGTTCGGTTCGACCTAACTTATCGTATTAATATACACTTATAGTTCGAAATTCCAAAAACCTTTGATTCGCCTATACTACACCCCATCCGCGACCCTTTAGAATTCTAGCTCTATCCGTCTACCCAATACAATTGACGAATTTCTTTTAAGTACGAGACACAAAATATTTATTCACATTTTAATTCTGGACTGCTCTAACGATAGTCACTTGTGGTTTTCCAGCCAAATATAAAGAAATCACGCTTGAATTCCATCAGGAATAACTTTTTTTCTGGAAAATTCTCACCAAAATTGTATGCTTGTAAATAATATAATGAGCTGTCACTGGAATAATTTTAACAGCTGTCGGACGAGTGGGTTAGAAATGACAACAGTCTGAAGTTGGTTGCAGTTTTTCATCTCACCTTGTATATCTGCGAACCCCTTCTGGTACCTCATCCACAAAGGGTTACATTTTTCAGTTTTCTCACTCACATTTTAACATCTTCTAAAAATTATCACATATCTCATATAGAGTGAAGGAAGTAACCAATATGGTCCAAACCTGGCATGTCGCACCTGGCATGGACAATATTGGTCCATTCCTTCCAAACCTTCTCCATAAAGGGTCAACAATTTGAATAATCATAACAGAAGTCAAAATATATTTAAATAATGGAACAATGGTTGAGGGTATACAGGGTTGCCCATATTCGATGGACCTTTGGGCCCTTTGGGTCCATTCCAATCGACGAGGCTTGTCCGCAGGCAACTTTCTTTGCGTCTTTTGAATTTTGTACGGGAACAAATGCAAATCAATGCGAATAATCCGTTGTAAAGTGGTCCGAGCCATGCCCAACTGCTGAGAACGGCGTTTTTTGGATGTTCTTGGGGACCTCTCAACACTGGCTCGTACGGCAGCGATATTCTCGGCCGATCGCCTTGGTTGACTTTTATATGGCCTCTTCGGATTAGAAAGAGCCTTAGCAGTCGAAAGTTGTTCGTATAAACGCTTAATGGTGTTCGTAGAAGGCGCACTTCTCACATTTTTTTTCACAATTGACTTCTTCTGTTGAATGTAAATTTCAACTATTTCAGAGGGCTCGCGTGGTGGGCTGCTTGGACTGACGCTTCAAACGCGGTATGTCTTTAAGCGATGTGACATCTCTGTCAAAAGTTATGGCGTAGTCAGATGGGTCCGTCAAATATGGGCAACCCTGTACTTTTTTTTCCAATAACAAAATTCAAAGGTACTCAAGCCTAATGTGATTTGTGAAGCAACTGAAAAATCATGAAAAATTTGATTTTGATGCATTTTAGCCACCAACTATTTTGCGATCATCTTTGAAAGACACTATCTCCGACTGGAACAACCTGTAGAATGATAATAATTTAAAATGGATGGACCTAGCATAGAAAATAACAGATCTATGACGAATATTTCTAAATGTTACAAATTTCAGAACAGAACAAACCTATATTACCCCCAGTTTTTAAAACCCAACAACAATTTCTTGTGCTCCATTTTTATTCTTAATAAATTATTTCGTTTTTGAGTAGCTTCTAGAGCCACTGTGCACACAATTTTCTTTTTTTATTTTGGGGCCACAAAGATTTTCCCCGGCGTGCAAGCAAGTGTTCACTACTGGTGGTGTTTTTGTGGTGGCGATGATGCTGTTGATGTTAGAGTAGCTGATGTTTGTCGTCACTGTCAAGTAATAATCCCGATGGATTTGTGGGAGCCTGTTGCTGCAACAGATGTGCTCTCAACGCATAGCCATAATTATGCGATCTTCACGGCTTGCCTTCTTCCCAAGGAATAGAGAAGAAGAAATTAATCTTCATAGCTGTGTGGTGTGAAAATGATGAGAATCATTATCATTTCCGAATGACTGGGCGACGAACTGAGTCAGTGACTGACTAAGAGGCAAGAGTTAATAAATGAACGATTTTCCATTTCCAAAAATCAACAAGTTTTTCTTTTTAGTTTTATTACGAAGAGTTTCCAGAAGAGGAGAATTCATGACAGAAAGGAAGGGGGCGAGGGGAATGTTTTAATTAATTTGTTATGTGTTTTTGAGACTTTTACGAGTCTATGTGTCGATGTGTCTGTCTGTATTTGGAGGGGAATTTAAGCAAAAAATATATATCCCCACTCTCATGTGAGAAAACGTCATGTGCATCAATGTGTGTGTGTGTGTGTGTTTGTGCTGGGTGCGAACAAGTGGACTACAAATCTTCTAAAATTTTAAATTTAAATTTAAATATTTTATAATCCATTAATCCATCCATAATCATAAATGTTTTTATGACAAGCTGTTGCATTTCTCGTCGACTTGTCTGCGGCCATCACCATTTACAAATCTTTGCCGACAACATTTTGGAGATTTTGGCCCAGGCCCATTTGCTTCATCATTGTGTAGACGGAAAAGGCAAATTTAACAACCTGTAAACGAAACAAAAATTTAGTCGTATTCTGGGATAAGATTTTTGTTTTTTTGGTTCTCATATTTCCTGACGTTTTCTGTTGGCTTACATTTATGTTCGAATTCAAAGTAATTGGAAAGATTTTCATGGCTGTCAAAATCAATGTCTTCTGGGTGTGTTGCAGGAAAAAGCAAATCATTTGCTTGTAACGCGGTTCCTCTTCATGCCATGCCGAATGAAAGATGGCCAATGAAATACGATCACTGTCGTCCATTAGACAATTGGCTAGAAAACTGCAGGGAAATGTCTCAGCCAAGATGGATGCCACATAGAAGAGGGATGCAATTATGGCCAAACGATCGGCAAAGAGAAATATATGCAGGGTGGTAATACCCAAAATCAGGCCAATGATAAGAAACTGGACAAACATTGTGCCGGATATGACGGGACAGAAAATGCTGTATAATCTGGAAAAGAGGAAAACATTGGTAGGAAACTCTAGTTAGCCGGGCTGAATAAAATTTTTCCTTTGGAAAATCCTATGTAGCCCGGCTGAATGGAATTCTTCCATTGAAAAATCCTATACAGCCAGGCTGAACTGAATTCTTCCTTTGGAATATTCTATGCAGCCTGGCTGAATAGAATTCTTCATTTGGAATATTCTATGCAGCCGGGCTGAAAAGAACTCTTCCTTTGGAATATTCTATGCAGCCGGGCTGAATAGAATTCTTCCATTGCAAAAATTCTATGCAGCCGGGCTGAATAGAATTCTTCCTTTGCAAAAATTCTATGCAACCGGGCTTAATAGAAATCTTCCTTTGCAAAAATTCTATGCAGCCGGGCTGAATAGAATTCTTCCTTTGAAAAATTCTATGCAGCCGGGCTGAATAGAATTCTTCCATTGAAAAATCATATTCAGCCGGGCTGAATAGAATTCTTCCTTTGCAAAAATTCTATGCAACCGGGCTTAATAGAAATCTTCCTTTGCAAAAATTCTATGCAGCCGGGCTGAATAGAATTCTTCCTTTGGAAAATTCTATGCAGTCGGGCTGAATAGAATTCTTCCATTGAAAAATCATATTCAGCCGGGCTGAATAGAATTCTTCCTTTGGAAAATTCTATGCAGCCGGGCTGAATAGAATTCTTACTTTGGAAAATTCTATGCAGCCGGGCTGAATAGAATTCTTCCTTTGGAAATTCTATGCAGCCGGGCTGAATAGAATTCTTCCTTTGGAAAATTCTATGCAGCAGGGCTGAATAGAATTCTTCCTTTGGAAAATTCTATGCAGCCGGGTTGAATAGAATTCTTCCTTTGGAAAATTCTATGCAACCGGGTTCCTTTGGAAAATTCTATGCAGCCGGGCTGAATAGAATTCTTCCTTTGGAAAATTCTATGCAGCCGGGCTGAATAGAATTCTTCCTTTGGAAAATTCTATGCAGCCGGGCTGAATAGAATTCTTCCTTTGGAAAATTCTATGCAGCCGGGCTGAAAAGAATTCTTCCTTTGGAAAATTCTATGCAGCCGGGCTGAATAGAATTCTTCCTTTGGAAAATTCTATGCAGCCGGGCTGAATAGAATTCTTCCTTTGGAAAATTCTATGCAGCCGGGCTGAATAGAATTCTTCCTTTGGAAAATTCTATGCAGCCGGGCTGAATAGAATTCTTCCTTTGGAAAATTCTATGCAGAATTCTTCCTTTGGAAAATCATATTCAGCCGGGCTGAATAGAATTCTTCCTTTGGAAAATCATATTCAGCCGGTCTTATTAGATTTTTCCCTGGGTAAATCATATTCAGCCATTCTGAATAGAATTCTTCCTTTGGAAAATCCTATGCAGCAGGGCTGAATAGAATTCTTCCTTTGGAAAATTCTATGCAGAATTCTTCCTTTGGAAAATCATATTCAGCCGGGCTGAATAGAATTCTTCCTTTGGAAAATACTATGCAGCCCGGCTGAATAGAATTCTTCCTTTGGAAAATCATATTCAGCCGGTCTTATTAGATTTTTCCCTGGGTAAATCATATTCAGCCATTCTGAATAGAATTCTTCCTTTGGAAAATCCTATGCAGCCGGGCTGAATAGAATTCTTCCTTTGGAAAATCCTATGCAGCCGGGCTGAATAGAATTCTTCCTTTGGAAAATTCTATGCAGAATTCTTCCTTTGGAAAATCATATTCAGCCGGGCTGAATAGAATTCTTCCTTTGGAAAATCCTATGCAGCCGGGCTGAATAGAATTCTTCCTTTGGAAAATCATATTCAGCCGGTCTTATTAGATTTTTCCCTGGGTAAATCATATTCAGCCATTCTGAATAGAATTCTTCCTTTGGAAAATCCTATGCAGCCGGGCTGAATAGAATTCTTCCTTTGGAATATTCTATGCAGCCGGGCTGAATAGAATTCTTCCTTTGGAATATTCTATGCAGCCGGGCTGAATAGAATTCTTTCTTTGGAAAAACCTATGCAGCCGGGCTGAAAAGGATTCTTCCTTTGAAAAATTCTATTTTAATTATCATTTCTTCTCTAAAATCACTTCTTACCCCATTATATTCTTGTGATCCAATACACATTGCACCAACGCCTCATACCGCTCATCGCTTGTCATTGTGGAAATACTGCCCAGACGCGAGATGCGACGTGTCAAAATGTGTAAATGTGTTCGTATTATGGTTATAAATATAACCGGATATGAATCCAACAATGCCTGCTGGAAGCAGTGAAACGCTATCATCATATATTCAAAACCGGCTTGCATCGTGAATTTCCAAACATTTTCTTTCCAGAGGAAAAATGGATTGAACACCTGATATGGCGGTTTCGAGTTGATAACAGCAACCAAGAATGTACTACTCGCATATGACAGATACAGTGATGAGTAGAGCGTCAGTGAGCGATTTGAGAATGCCACAATCTTACGAATCACCAAACGATCCTCATCATTGTCGATACGTACATCGAGTCGATCCATAAATTTCCTCGATTCGATAAGACGTCGATGCAAGAAAAAGAAAACGAACATTTTCAGGCTGCAACCAATGCAATTGATCCATATCTGCAACGAGGTGAAGAAGTCGCTGGGACTAAAGGTATTCAGACGTAGCAGGAAACTCATCAGGAAACCAACAGGTAGGTAGACCGTGACAAAGAAGTTGACAAAACCTGACCACATGTAAAAAGCTAATTTATTGGTCTCCGTTGGCACGTAGCCGATAATGTTCAAGCCACGAAATATGTATACAGTGGCATCTCTGGTCTTTGGTAGTGGGGCATCTATATCCATGTGGGCCAAATGGAAAATACGTCTGCAAAAAATCGAGAAATAAAAAACTTTGTAGATGATCGGAAATCTTGTATTCAAACTGGAATTGAAGAAGTGTTTTGTCGATGAAGGCATGTTAACGGTCTTCTCTTTACAGAGGATGTGTGAAAATTCTTTATTTATAAAAGATTTATAAATCTCATACTGGAAAACAGTAAAAAGTATTCCCTCCATGGACATTATTGTAAAATATCTTCCTTCCAAAAGTGACCAGTGAAAGGACTTTTCGGATATATGACATGGAAAGGTGTTTTCTCAATAGATCTCTTCTCTTAATATAACAATTTTGAAAGGTCTTCTATCTAACGGAAACTTTTAAAAAGTCTTCTCTTTATAAACGACTTTTATAAGGACTTCTCCCCATCAAAAACTGGTAAAAAATCTTCTCTCCGTGTGAGACCGTTAGAATGCCTTCTCTACATAACAAACCCTAGGTAGTATTATCTCTTTCCTGTAAAAGAACTTCTCCCCATAGAAGAGCTTTAAAAGGGTTCCCCCTTAAATAGCAGACCAGAATAAAAAAAAAAAAAACTTTAACAAAGGTCTTCTTCGTAGGAGTTGAAAAAGACTTCTCTCCATAGAAAATCTTAAAAAAATCTTCTCCTCCTCCACTAAATACTTCTCGCAGAAAATATACAATGTCTTTTTTCTGCAAGGAAAATGTTAAAAAGTCTCTTAATAGAAGAATTTTTTCAAAAATTCTGCTTCTTCTCAGAGAAGACATTTAAAACATCATCTTTCCAAAGAAGATCACTTAAGAGTATTTTGCTCTTAGAAGGCCTATGATAGGTATTTTCTCCACAGAAGACCTGTAAAGGTGTCCCCCATAAAATTTAGAAGACCTGTGGAAGATGCCTCTTCATACAAATAATTTTATTTTTATAAAATCTATAAAAAATTTCTAGCAAATAACCACCTGTAAATAGTCCTATCAATATAAAAGACCTATAAAATATACCCTTTCCAGAGAAGTTCTTTAAATGATTTCTTTTGACAGATGGGACCGTAAGAATTCTATTGTAATTCTCAATACTTGGAAAATTTCTTCTATACCAAGAAGATCCATGAAAGGTTTTCTTCTTCTGGAAGACATTCTAACATCTTTTATCCATAGAAGACCTTTAAACCATTAAGGTAAGGGAGGACCGACTTTAGTAGTGCTACTACTAATAAAAAAACCTTTTAATGGGAATTTATGATCGTTTTTCAATGCGTATTATGACTTTTAAAGCAGATAAAGCTTTAGAGAAATAATTTGTGGAAGTATATCCCCCTCTTAATCGATTTCTAATAAATTTAACGGATTGAACCAATATTCATTAAAATCTATTTTATTTGAGCTTTTTAGGCCTAATAAACGTGAAATTAGATGAAGATTTATGTGGGAACTATAACTTAGAATCTAATTCTATGAAGATCATCAAAAATTACTATGGGCCTATTTCGGTACCTTCTCTATTTTACAAACAAGTGCACAAAGACATAATACCCTGACAACAGTGTAGTTTTGGGCATAAAAAGAATTCTCTTAAAAAAAAACGAAAAATACCTATTGAAGACCAGAGATAACTATGAAAAAGTTATCTATCCTCAGGAGACCGGTAGAAGATTTCTCTCCCCATAGAGGGTTTGTCAAAAGTAAATTCTCCATTGAAGGCCTACAAAGGACTTCTCTCCACAAAACACCGGCAAAATACTACTCTCCATTGAACGCCGACATGAGTTCTTCTATCTGTCTACAGAACACCTGTTAAAAGTTATTTATCCACAGAAGCTCTATAAAGAGATTCCAACGTCATTTTTCCCTGAAAGAACTGATTAAGTTATGGGATTCCGCATAAAAGGCCTCTAAAAGGTATATTCTCCAAAGAAAGCCCACAGAAGAACTTCCCACCTATGAACACCGGCAAAGAACAAGGAAGAACACAGAACGCCAGCACAAGTTCCTCCATTTATCTACAAAAGATCTGGAAAATAACATTTATCCACAGAAGATCTATAAAAGGACTTCAATATGTTTTCTATATAAAAAGTGAAAAAGCATTAAGTTCAATCGGGTCGAACTATGAATACCTTCCACCAATTGAAAGCAATTTTCAAATTATCAAAAAAAAAAAAAAAAAAAACAAAAATGCGGAATATAGGAAGTTATCGTTATATTGGATCCTATACGAAGACGTGGACCTGTAAATACCATTTTTACACAAGCCATTACGATATTGAAATATGAAACTAGAACTCCGATGAATGATGTCGCTAGAATCATAAAAATACCGAATATAAAGAGATACCGTTATGTAGGGGCCATACAAAGACCTGGAACTGCGCAGACATTTTTCTGTCACAGACTGAAGTACACATTAGGAACTTTAAAAATATGAGATTTAAAATAATTCCTGTGGATAATGTCGGTAAAATCATCAATATACCGAATATATGGAGGGGGGCTACATGAAGACGTGGTCCTGTTTGAGCGATTTTCTGTTATAGGAAATTCAAATTCTATTAGGAACATCGAATTCAAATTTGTAAAATTTCTGGTAAAAAGTGTAACAAAATGCATCCAAATTCCGAATATACAAAAACCTAGACCTATATTGAGTCCTGAGCAAAACTTTATCATACTACTTCATTTTCTCTATGTAGGGTGGAATCTATCCATATAAAACTTGCGAAAGGTCCCCTCTCCATAGAACCCCATTTTGTAAAAAACCTTTTTGAAATATTTTTTTTATATATCCATGGGTTTAATGGGTTTAAACATTTTTATGCAAGATGGACTTACATGTTTAAAAAGTAAGTGTATATTTGCCGAAGGCGTTCTTTAATGGTCATATTTCAATCCCACAAAGATACCTCCAACAATTTTAGTCAAACACTTCTTCTGCGCAACACGTCTTTTTTATATTTTTACAGATGATATTGGGGTTCAATTGTCGTCGTATGGTTGCCCACACGCTGCCTTGATATAGCTCGTCCTCCACTTGCTCCTCGTGTAGCTGGTTTGGGGTGTTTTCTTGTCTCTAAAATAAATAAACAAACATAAAAATCGTCATTGTCGTTATGTTGTTTTCTGTGTGTTTTTTTTTTTTCATTTTTTTTGTTTTTTCGTTAAACTACTAAAAGTTTTTGGTCGGCATTTTCGTTGTCTTCTTTATTATCTTTGCTCCGATTTGATGTTGGATGCGTTCGTTTTTTTTTTGTTTTTGTTTATCTTAACTCGAATTCTCAGTTACCAGTAGTTGATGTTATTTTTCTGGCTATGCTGTGTTGTTTTTGTTTTAAAAACAATTTTTCTTAGTTCATTTTTTATGGGTCTTTTGTTTTTATTTTCCCAAAAAAATACACTCCATTATTTTTTTTTTTTCTATAAGACAACGCAAGACCGACTGACGTACGCTGATCATCCAACCCATTAACCAATAAAAAATATATAATTGTTTATGATGTATAAATATATATGTAAATGTATGCATTTGTGTTATATATAAGTAAATAGAACAATGATTTTTTGTTATGACCTCGTTTTAGTTGGGCTTAGTTATATCTAAGAACAAATAAGAAGAGCGAAAGAGGACAACTTAAGTTAAGGGTTATTTTAGAGAGCACATGCATTCCCTAACAGAATTAAAAAAAATCAAATCCGATTTAACAAATCGTTGCCTTATTTTATTATTTCTCTTAATTTCAGTGTATAAAATATAGATTTGAAAGAGATGCACAAGGGTATATTCAAAACTTCATAGGTTTAACCATTGATTAAAAATACTTAAATCGACATTCTTAATTTTATACGGAAGCTAGAGAGATTTCCATTGCTGATCAAGTATATATACTTTTCGAATACCAAACAATTTCATTGAAATATATAACTGAAATATGAAATGTCTTGAGGTGTTGTTATGCTGAGACATACAAAGACGTAGATGTACATATATACCCAATTATCTGCGAGATGGATTGGTACGAACTTCAAATACCAACATCAACAAGATATCGAACATTGTAAGTTAACGTCATATGCGGATTATATGAAAGCGTGAACCCATAAATATAAATTTTGGTCTATATAAAACAAGTAAAAAAAAACATTATGTTCGGCCGGGCCGAATTTTTAATACCTTCCACCTTAGGGTAATGGAAACACTAGAACCAATTATGACCCACAAATACCAATTTTTAGACATATTCGTGGGAAAATATGGCAATAATCATTAAAATACCGAATATCGGGAGGTACAGCTATATAAGGCTATACAAAACGTGAACCTATACATACAAGATTTCGGCGCACGAACTATGATCCTTTATGAACTACAAATACCAATTTTCAGACAAATCCGTGAAAAATGTGGTAAAAATCATCAAAATACCGAATATCGGGAGAAACCGCTATACAGAAGCTATACCAAAGCGTGGACCTATACATACAATATTTCGCCATCGGAGCTTGAATTCATTATTACAAACAAATTCCAATTTTTAGACAAATCTGTGATAAAATCTGACAAAAACCATCAAAATACCGAATATCGGGAGGTACCATTATATGGGGGCTATACCAAAATGTGGACCTATACATGCAAAGTTTCGCCACCGGAGCTAGAACTCATTGTGACCAATAAATACCAATTTTTAAACAAATCCATAAAAAATATTGCAAAAATCATAAAAATACCGAATATCGGGAGGTACCGTTATATGGGGGCTATACCAAAGCGTGGACATATACATACAATGTTTCGCCGCACGAACTAGGACCCATTATGACATACGAATACAAATTTTCAGACAAATCCGTGAAAAAGTGTGGCAAAAATCATCAAAATACCGAATATCGGGATGTACCATTATATGGGGGCCAATATATCTCATTATCAATACCAACCATCCTAGACATAATACAAATTATTCTGCTAAATTTTGACGATCTATGTCAAATAATGACATGACAAAGACGGACAGATAGACAGACGGACATCGTTAAATCGTCTTAGAATTTTATGCTGATTATGAATATGTATATATATATATATATATATATATATATATATATATATATATATATATATATATATATATATATATATATATATATATATGGGGTCTACGACGAATATTTAGGGATGTTACAAAGGAAGGACAAAGTTAATATACCCTCCTTTCCAAGGTGGAGGGTTTACAAATTGCATGTATTTGTTAGATTACAAAAACGATTCTGTTGTTTCAGTAAATTATATGACAATCCTCCACTGTAAAAAAAAATTTCATACAAATTGTTTTAAAACAACGTCGGTTGAGCATATTTACAGACAAGAACCGAGGGAATTTAGACCATGGTCTTTTCTGCCATATTCCATTAAACCCAATGCAAATTTCCACACTAAAAAATAAATGTCGTTTTTACAAAAATGAGATTAAGGTAGAATATTTTGAAACAATGAAATTGTTGAACAGCGCAGAATTCCAAGAAAAAAATCACATGTCGTTTGTGAATTTCTTTGGGCATTTGAAGGGATCGACCCCGATTACTATGACCATATCATGTTTGCAAGTTAACTGACATTGGAAATGGAATATATGTATCCGCTCTTTGTTGTAGCTCAGAAAGTTTCGACCACTTTTTGTAATGAATTAACTATTATATAATAATCTGTAAAAAACAAATTAAAAAGTATCAGTCGGGTTTGCCGACAGGTGTATACCCTCAGCCAATGTTCGATTATTTAAATATTTTTCGACTTCTATTACGATTTCAAATTGTTGACCCTCTATGAAGTAAGTTACTGAATCAATAGGCTAATATTGTCTATTTCGTATCGGAACTAAATAAATATGATATAAATATTGCGACGTGCCAGGTTTGGACTGTATTGGTTACTTGCTTCACTTTAGATGAAGTATGTGATAATTTTTAGAAAATGTTAAAATGTGCGTGAGGTACCAGATATAGACTACTTATTCTTATACTACATCTAATACAGATAAAAATTTTGATATGGGAATATTTACAAGAAAATCGAACATTTACATCCAATTTTAAGCGAAATCATAAATTCCACATTCATCTAAGATTTCTGGTTAAGAGAAAATTGTAAAAAATCGTTGTTCCTTGTTCCGCAAGTTATGACAGATAAAATATTGAAAATTGTGAGTTCGCAGATATATATCATCTTAGCAAAAATGTTTGTGTGTGTGAAATTTGAAGAGAGTTGGATGCTTATTTCGCTTTCTTTGAGCGTCTTGTTTTTCAAAATCTTGAACCCTTCGTGGGGCGGTGTGCACCAGAAGGAATGAGCCGATCTCTGTCATCTTCATAACAGATCTTGTGTTGATAGAAATATTGAGATGTACCGAGCCTAAATGGAATCGGATATTAATTTCTCGTTTTATTTGCCTCATGTTTATTCAAAATTTTGACCCTTTGTGGGAGAAGTACCAGAAGGAATGGTCCTATCTCTATCTTCTTTATAACAGATCTAGTATTGATAGAAATATCCCAAATCTGAATGGAATCGGATGTTAATTTCGCGTTTTATTTGCTTCATGTTTATTCAAAACTTTGATCCTTTGTGGGGGGAGGTACCAGAAGGAATGTTCCTATCTCTACCATCTTTATAACAGATTTTGTGTTGATAGAAAAATGGAGATGTGTCAAGTCTAAATGAAATCGGATGTTAATTTCACGTTTTATGAGCTTCACGGACATTCCAAGTTTTGTCCATTTGTGTGGGAGTTACCAGAAGGAGTGGACCGATATATTCCATCTTCACACCAGACCTTTAGTTAATGAAAATATTGTGATGTGTGTAATTTGAAGACAAACGAAATTTGAAGACAAAATGTTGAACCTTTGTAGGGGAGTGGCCCGGATCCGTTGTGGGGGATTTGGCCGGCATTATCCATTTTCCCACCTGACCTAGTACTGATGCGAATTTTAGGATTTGAAAAGTTGCAGAAAAATTGGATTATCCTTTCCCTTTTTATGCAGTAAAATATCGGATACTCCCTTCGAAAGTAATCGTACGCACTAGCCAGGCAGACGGACATCGCTAGATCGACTCCAAATGTTCTTAAACGGATTTGGTCCAAGGACATAGGGTCTAAAACCTCTATTTCGATGCAGCACGTTTTGGCCGTATCAAATGATATATACCCTCTCTATCTCTCTCTAAAGCGTATAAAAATAGGATAAACAAAATTTTAAGAAAATCGGGCATTGGTTTCAAAACTTAAGAGCGTTATTATTATTGAACAGTTATTGTCCATTTACGCACCGGGTTAGAGTCTTAACTAAATACTGCGATGTGTTTAGTTTGAATTATATCGGTTGGATATATCGTTCAATTGGAGATTATATTTTTGCAAAAGCTTTTATGGGGGAGTTACCGGAAGTAGTGTACCAATGATGTTCACCGAATTCAATCTAAGTTTTGTTAGAATATTACATGTACCAAGTGCGACAGACAGATAGACATGACTAAGTTGACTCCAACTGTCCTGAAACGGATTTAAAAACGTTTATTTCATTGTAGCCCTATGTGAGTATATAAAACATCGTATGATACCATCGACATTATATACGAGTAGAAGACGATGGTGATTCATATCTTATACAATATTTGTGGACCGATTATATACCTCTCGTTATAAACGATTGATGCCTTTTCATCGGGTACTTGTTTATTTTTAGAAGGACTTATTCAGTATATTTAAGGTCTTCTGATCCAGTTTCTCTGTTTTGCAATAAAACTACTATGCCTTTCAAGTGAGCATAGAGTGTTTGCTCCATTCCATATTTTGTCCTCTGGAAGGATAATAAACTAATTTTCTGGTCAGAGAAATCAACAAAAGTTGTTATTTTCTGAAAATGTATTGCGCTCCACAAATTCCAGTTCACACAAAGCATTTTTCATTTTGAGATTAAAGTGCAGACGTAGGAACAACAACAATATGCTAAAGTGTCAGTTGTTGGCAGATGATGTTGATGGTTATGAACTTTGATTGTTGATTGATCTATGCG